GGAAAAACGTTGCGGTGCGATTCGATGGGATCAAAAGAGAATTTCTTAGTGACTAGAATTAGTATTGATATTTAAGCCCGAACTGCTCTGTTTTTTTTTTCTCTTTGTACAGGGTGTCCGCGTTTTCTCGTTACAAATTATTACAATAAATCGTGCGTCTTCATTCATTTGCTTACATCCCCTCTTCCTGTCAATCAAGGCTTAAACACTTAGTATAACATCGAGTTGTACTAATTCGAGGAATATCTTAATACCCTGCGTTTCACTGTATTATTATTCATTTTTTTTTATATTTAAATATATATATTATTATTTTATTTATTCTTTTTTTTTACTTTCTTTAAATGGATGGATTACACTTTTGAGCAAAGAAATCGCATTCCTAAGTTATTCTCGTCCCTTCGTCATCAACGTCCACCAAAAAAAATAACTTGGGAACATTCTTTCATTAAGAAAAAGAAGGAAAAAAAAAACTTATTATTGGTATACCGAAAAAAAACCGAACGAAATCGTAATTGAGAAACGTACACAAAGTAGTATTAAGAATGCACACACACCACACACGTTTTATATCGTAAATACAATTATATAATAATTCATTTTTTTTATTCAATTTTGTTTGTTTGTTTGTTTGCTTTGCTTGCTTCGTTAATGCACTAAACGTAATCGTAATCAGTCGAAAATAAATATGTATAATCAAAATCGAAACATGAGAAGTAATATCGAAACAAAATAATTAATTAGAGAACTAAATCGAATTGAAAGTAATTACATTTATATACATTTACTTCATACACACCGATAAATTGCATGCATTTTCAAAATTGCACATCGAACGTTTCGATCCGCAACTCGACTTCCTTGCAGTGGAAGTTGCGGACGCAACAAACACCTAATACCACCGATAAAACAACTCAAGTTATCCGTAGAACGAGAAGTTAAAGAAAGTCAACAGCTGTGATAAAACGTAGTATTACGCACAGGTATGAGAAAAAAGAAAAGAAATACTTACATTCTAATGACTATCAAACGAAAAGATTAATAAGTGATAATGAGCGAATGCGGAAAACAAAATCGAATTCGAAAGAAAAAAAATAATAAACAAAGAAATGCAGGAACTTCGTGAGCCGAATCCGGCTATGAGAGAAAATCAAAGAGAAGACGATAATCAATATCGTAAATGAAAAGAAGAAAGACAAAACAAAAATCGTCCAATATTTGAGGACGTCCGCTCGCTAAGGTAGGGTTATAACATACTCGACGTCCCTCTGCAGCTAGCTGATCTTCATGCGCTTCGTTGAATCTGAAGGGCTGACGCATCCCAGCTTTGCAGAGTTCATCACGTTCCCATTGCACATCGAGTCGTTCCCGTATATTGTCAGGCTGTTCTGCAGGATGTCCTGTTTCTTGAAGAGCTCCGTCTTCGTGTAGTCACAGCTGTACTGGGGTTGATCCTCCGGTTGGCTGTAACTCACGATGCCTTCCATCATCACGGCGATTGGTACGTTGCCCGTGGCCTCTGCGACTTGATGCTCGATCAGGTAGAACATGTACTCGTCGTATAGGAGGCGGATCAAGTGGAAGGAGCCGAAGCTCGCTGCTGATCTTAGTGTTAAATCTCGTATAACCATTGAACTGAAAACAACAACATGATTAAATTGATAAAGGTGAATTTGAAAGTTGCGTTCATCAAGTGATGAAAATGTTACCTGTAAAAACTCCATTTCAACAGAAATTGACGAGCCGCTTTCGAGAACGACGGTTTTCCTTCGTACGGTTTAAGAGCGCTTTTGACGACGTTCTTCAGCCAAGAGGCCCACTGCTCCAGAGAATTCTGTTGCTGCAGCGTGAGTTTGAAGTCTGCTTCGAACCTAGCTACGATGTCGTGATCACATTGGCATACCCACGACGCCTGTTCGCGTACGCTATGGAAGTCGACGCGATTCAGATCTGCAAGCATCTGAGCAATCTGTGTCCCATTGTGGAGGACTGCTCTGGCTGCTTGTGCCAGGTGATTTAGAGAGGTGTATCTCCGAAGGCTTGAACTGAATGCGGAGACGGCGGATAACTTGACCGACATCATTCCAGGCGGGGCTCCATTCATAGCAGCGGTCAACCAACTCTCCAAACCTGATAGAGCATACGTTAGGATTAGTAAACTATTTGCAAAGTAACTTGTAGCTGATTGTTTTACTTTTCGCAAAGTTTCGTATGGACTGCGTGAGGGTGGCTGGTATAGGTTTTAGCACGTCCGGCACCAAGACTTGAATGAGGTTTTGGTAGAAGGTCAGATCCACGTGACGCATGAAGGCCTGCATTGGTTCCAAGTTGCATAGAGCAAATAATTTAGATCTGTAAACAAATTTGCATTTAACTCATCAAGTAGATATAATTTATAGATTTTAGACGTACTTTGAGAGGTATTTTTCTTCTTCGCATTCGTCGCCGTTGTTGTTATCCTGTGACCTCCAGAATTCGCGCCAAAGCGATTCGACCGTAGCGAATTCCAAGCTCAAAATAGCGTCCAGAAACGCCTCTAAATGTTCCCTGTAGATTGATCTGCAATGACAATCGTAGCATAAGTATCGTAAACTTTAAATATACATAGTCTAATTTACTTTAAAGTGTCAACATCGTCGTAACTGCAATCGTCTGGTAACGGTGTGGAAAAGTTAATGTCCGGAAAGTTGGGGATGGCGTTGCTACCATCACCCAAGTAGGCCTGGTGCTGAGTGTTAACTGTGATGGAAACCCCCTGATCCATGGAATCGTTGCTTCGCTTGAAAGATCTGTTCACGTTGCCGCCAACCTTACCATGCATGTTGGCGCTGGACGGCATGCTGCGAGCCGTGGACTCCTCTACGCTGGTTAAGGACGAACCCGGCTTCACCCGGATCCCATAGTAATGGTACTTCGAGTTACCCCTGCAAAGCATCCGCATATTTAAATAAATTACACCAAACAAGAGCCACATGCCGCGCATATTTACCTTGTACCCAATCTTCTGGTTCTCAGTCCGAGGAATACGGATCTAATCAGTTTTCCGAAAGACGCGGCATTCACCGGCTCTAATTTGTTCTCTCCACAATGTCGCAAGTAATGAGCGTACAGGGTTGATCGAGGCAGCGAAACCCCCTCGGCGGTCTCGTAATTCTCCAGCAACCATTGCACCTTTAAATCGCGCCAAATTAGTGAACCAATTCGCATTCAGAGACGCAACAACGGCGACAATCAATAATAACTAATTTCCGCGCAACGGAACAAACAACGGCAAATACGAGATGGGCATATTACGTAATCGTTGTGAGGGGCTTGGGTTTCGGTGATGTGGATATGATTAAATATGATTATGGGTGGTACGTGCGCTCTCTTGTACTTTTTGGCCGTGTCTGTGGTGCTTGTGACTCGAGGAAGAAGGAAGAAGAAGCGAGCAAACAATAACTTGTGATTTGCAGTCAACATTCAATGAAAACGAAAATGAAAATAGTTCTACGCTTCGCAATTACATCAACATATAGGATAGATAATACCAATTAGTACCAGTAAATTATTTCACATGAATTGACCAAATATAAATGAAATGAAAATAATAATTATAGTTAAGTATTAGGGACACAATAGTTATTAATATCGATTGTAAATACAGGTAATTCCCGTTTTATGAATTAAATTGTTTCGTTAAAGTGGATTTTCGCAAAATGAGAACTCAATTCTTATGTCCATTTGAAGCTATAACAGCTTAAACTTAAATTCGTAAAGCGGGAACTACCTGCATGTAATTTCAAATTTCTTTAAAGAAAACTGAAAGAAAACGCCAGAAATATATGTTTTCATGTGAAACAACTTCAAATATTCTGGTATAATGTTAGAAGTTAAGAAGACAGAGCAAACTAAAGGATAACTAAAAACGGAATTCCATGCACAAGATCCAAACAATAACTAAAAAGAAGTAAGCGATTTTTACCGTGCACAAGCGGCAGACGGGTGCAAATATCAGTACTGAGAAGATGACTTCTGTTTTTTGTTTTGTTTTAATTAGGACTTACGGTCGCAGGCGATACTCTAGTAGCATGGCTCAGAGCCGAGCCGACTTCTTCCTGAGTCGCAGATGGAGCTGCATGCACAGTGGCTGTAGCCACATAGCTTGTGTCCTACACCCCAGTTAGTTAATGAAAAATGATTTAGTTTTTTTTTATGGATAAGAAAGTATTAATTAACCAAAGACTACCAAAAGAAAATTATAACGCATGCAAAGAGAACCCATTAGAGAGAAAGGAAAAATAGATATTAATATTGATAAAAGCGATCTCTCAGAATTTTATCCAAAATTTAATAATTATAGAGAAAATTTTATCATATGAATCACTTGTATTTGTTTATTTGAACTAAAGCAGATGACATTTAGTTAGGATTTAATTTTTCGACTATATAAGTAATATAGAAATCGAAGATTGCAGATACATTCACACTATGTCCTAAACCTATATATATATATATTTCATAACTGTTACAGGTATTTATATCAACTACATACTATATATTATAGAGTTGGTAAAATTACACATGTTATAGTATATAGAAAATATAGTTGATTGATTCTGAATACAGCTAAGATGTATTAAACTTGAGTATAATCTGAAATAAACTAAAATATATCAGCTAATGTTTCGAAAGTAGTGTGTAAAGACCATAATAAAATTTCAACTAGATTTTTTTTGTAATTTATTCTTCATTGAGGCACAAATTTCATTTAACTTAAGAGGATCAAATATTATGTTATTGGTTTATCATATATATTTGATATTTAGATTATTCAAATATAGTGTTGTAGAAAGGTGAGCGTAGGCAATAAGTGTCCAAATAATACTACAATACTTCGAATGTTTATTGGACTTTCAGTGCACTGCAGGGGTGAATCTGCCATGACAACAGACCTGGGGAGGCACGATATTTCATCAAATATATAAAATCACCTGAAATGAATACCGACTTGATCTATTGTAGCGAGTGAACATCGCAAAAGGTTCCATAAAAGATTAATTATCACGTCCGAAGAATTCAGAAGTATCAATTAGGATTGTAATCGATTTCATCCGCTCTTTGTTTCCTTCGAGTATAAGCCTTCAATATCTTACTTCAAATATACACTTCAAATATAATTTAAGTAATCTCTTAATTATTGCTATAAATACTATTTTTCAGGTACATGTAATTATAGCAATTCATATAATCAAGAAAATGTACTTTTTTTTGTAACAATATTTTATTATGCTCTACTTTCATCACTAACTAAACGACGCAAATACAGCAAATCTTAATTCAAAATCAAATATATTTTCACTCTAATACTTTTACTGATGAAACAACAATGTTATACAGGTAGTTCCCACTATTAAGAATTTATTCCTTCGAATTTCGTAAATTGAGAACTCATTTAACGTAAAACTTTACGTGTAAACAAATTGGTATAGCTTTTATATATAAATATAAAATATGCATTTTGTAAATATTCAAATTGAATTTTCTAAAGGATGTTAAACAAAACGGAATTATTGTCAAATAACATCAAGTGATTTGGACAAGTACAAATCTCATCTTGACTTGAACAGACAACTTGACAAGAATCGAACAGTGTATTAGGAAATAATGTAGATGAAATACTCTTATACAAAAATAATATTGTATGAATTGATTTATGTAAGTTTTTTTTTGAAATCATACATATGATGAAATATGAATCTATTTGAAAGAGTTGCTTTATATAAATAAAAAAAACACATAAGAATAATCGATAATAGTAATTTTAGAAATGCATACTCTTGGTAAACGACTATGTTAGAGCAAGGTATTTACGGAAAGTTCCCTTTTGAATGTCTTCCCGTCGTAGCTCATAGTTATTTTCAAACTAATTATAAAGTTTAAACTTCTCCTACTTTACAATTTACAACAAACTAAATTTTCTAACGAAATCCCATCTGCACCAACGATAAACTAACACGATGTTCTTGAACATAACATCAAAAATTAATTAATATTATGTAAGACTCTATAAATTTATTTAACAAATTAATACTAGCGATTCTGTGGATTTCCATAAATCAAGTAACCGTAACTGAATTTTATATTAGCTAGTAAAAAGGTGAGAATAGATGAGGTAAATTCAAAGCATACTAGGTAAATTGTAAATCCCATTTTAATCCCACTACTTGTTAATTTAAAAAAAAATAAGAAATGAAGTAAAGGATGAAACGAATCTAACGTTTGTGGTTTTAACACAACTTTGGTATCTACTTACAGCACTAGTGGTTTGCGGGGAATGCCTTGTGGGTGCGATCAAACCGTCGCCATCGACGGTCTGCTGCACCAGGTAGTGGCCGGTGGTCGTTGTGTATCCGACGGCCGCAGAATTGGTCGAATTCCCAGTGTTCGCTGCATAGTACTGCCCTTGACTAGCGTACAAAGTCCCTGTTTCTCCTACAGTGTACACCGGATACGCCCTTCAAAACAGACGAAAAATGATCCTGCTTTAAATTCTTCACAATTGATACAAAGGATTCGTATATTTATGGTTCTAGCTTGTTTTTTGGAACAGTCGCACCAATTGGCAAACTTCCAATATAAGCAGATTTATTGTACAGTTTGAATCCCTTTTTGAACTATTATCATATCTTTAGTCTGAATTAATGTACATCGTTTTAATGTAAGTTCAATAAAACATAGGACGCAAAAATGTACGTTCGATAAAATTCCCGACGGCAAAGTGTACCTTCGATAAACCATCCGACGGTAATGTGTACTTTCTACTAACAAATTATACATTTGTTTAGTACTAATTTGTGATTAGTGAACGTATTAACCTTCCAATTGATAATATAAGTAGATTTATTGTAAAGTTTGAATCACGTTTTGAACTAATGTCCCTACTATAGTCTGCGCTGAATTAACGTACATCGTTTTAATGTACCTTTAATAAAACATACGTCAGAAAAATGTACGTTCGATAAAACATCCGACGGTAAAGTGTACATTCAAATGACAAATTGTACATTTGTTTAGTACTAATTTGTAATTAGTGAACGCAGTATGTACGTTAACTAACAATTGATTACATAAATAACAGTAATTAACTCGTTACTAAAATATTGAAGTATAACAAAATAAAACTTTATAGCAACTGCTAAATTATTACATAAAAATTGTCACTAAAGTTAGAAAAAATAAAACATTGAAAAAAAAAATAAAATATTTTGTTTTGCATGCCTGGGTAACGTTTCAAATGCACTTTACAGAGTATTTAATTTAATTACAGTACATTGAAATCTGATGCATTTGCTAGTGTTACAAATGTTCATTGCAAAATATAATAAAATAATTATTTCAAAATATCAAGTTTCAGTTTACTAGTTAAAGTTTTATAATTTACTATAGTTAAGCAAGAATATTTATTGAAGGTGACCGGAAATTTTATAACTTGCTAAGTTTGTTATAAGACTGGATTATTATTTAGGAATTGCTTTAAATTTTTATTATTTTGATGATCACAAACATAATCCTACTCATAAAAATGTTTATGATTAAAAATAAATACCGTACTTTTCGGACTAACAGACATAGAAAATTAGAATTAAAATTGTATTGCGTTTTATGGCAAAATATTCATATTTAGCTTGGAAAAATATTGATAATAATATAAATGTTAAAAACTTAACTATGAAAGTTAATCAACGTTTTTGTGGGCTTTGGACAAGTACAAATATCATCTTGAAAAGTTATTTAGCAAATATCGAACAGTGTGTAATAAGAAATAATGCATAAAAACAAATGATTATAATGTTTGACTTAAGTTAAGCAACGTTTTTGGACAAGTACAAATCTCATCTTGACAAGTTATTTAGCAAGTATCGAACAGTGTGTAATAAGAAATAATGCATAAAACTAAATAATTATATTTTTTGACTCAACTATGAAAGTTAAGCAACGTTCTTGTGGATAGAAAAAATTGATTGGGTGATTTTTGTCAACTCTTCATAAATGGACAACCCACCGTTGCTAAAGTTAAAAGTGGAAACGATTGAAAACTGCAATGAATTTTTATATTTTACGAGTTGAAAAATATTTAAAAAAAATATAATTTAACAATTATTATTACACATTTATGATATAGACACAAAGATTTGTATTAAATTATTAATTGCTGTTCATGTCTATTTTTTTAATTTTTTATGATTATAGCTGTTATTGTTCAATATGTTTTTGATATAAAAATAATTTACCTCATAGGTAAAATATATGTGAAACGTATATAGAGAAATTGTTAAAAAAAAAATAGATAATGAAAATATCTAATTTGAAAAATAATATTCGAAATCTGATTAAAGTATTTGAAATATAAGACAGCGCCGAAGATTCAGAAATGACAGGGGATGTGTAGGAAAATAATAAGCTCGAGTCGAGAAAACGGGAGATGCAGTCAGAATTTATAATTGGGTTTGCACTTGTATTCTCTAACAAAAAATTAAAATACTACGAAAAACAAACTGATATTACTCCTGTTGCATAATTGGTATTGAAGATTTCATTGCTCGTAAATCAAAGAGAACGAAATATTGCTTCAACGTCGCAATACTCTTTCATATGCCTGAAAATTGATCCAATCAACATCTGTATTATTTGATACAGACACACTCTGTCCAATAACAAGTACTTCTGTAACGGATTCTAAATGAAACTGAGGATGCAAAAGTTGTTTTCAAACGGGAATTCTCGGAAGTTGATACAAGTGACATTCGTATTTTCACTTTGTGAGTTTTATTGATCTGAAATGCGTTCCAGGAATAAAATATTATATATTATTGGATAGAAATATATATATTTTTCGTTTCATGAACATCATAATGAAATGAGTGGGATTTTTAGTGGAATTTTAGCAAATATTTATCATTTTCTACTTTCCAGAATTTATATTTAATACTTGTTTTTCTTCAATTATGTAACTGTATCGAATAACATTTTTCACACTTCAAATCGTCCATTAAACATTTATTTGAATAATATAACAAATAATTGACTTCCTTCTATGTCTAAAATTGATACCAAAACGAAACAATCATTAAATACTTAAGAAAAGTAAAATTACTATTTCTGATAAAATAAATAACTACATAGTTAACTGTGTACGTAACACAATTAAATTTTAATAATATTTGACATTTTATAAAATTTAACTCTTTAAGAGGCAAAAAATTCCTAAATTTCGAGACAACTGAATCAGACAGCTACGTCAACTGAACTAACATCGGATGGTATGGCCTATCAAGATTCATCCTTTGACATACCAACCAAATTAAAGGATAAATCTTCATTCCAGGACAATACAAGTATTTTTAGCAAATTCGTATTGGAAGCTACAACATTTCCTACAAAATTATAATAATGCCCCACTAGGCATCTTCAAAAAGTGGGACAATGCGTGTCCCACCGCCCCTCAAAGAGTTAAGCAACGTTCTTATGTATAGAAAAATGTTATAGGTGATTTTGAATTTGAATGGAGATTAAACGAAGATTATTTTCTAAAGTAAGGTGTCATTAAATTATTATATTTTAGAAATTTTGTTTGTGAACTTATAAGGAAAATATAAAGTCTCCAAATCAAAAGTTATTAACTATAAATTAGTGAAATTTCATTACAATTTTCTTCAATAACTTAAAATAATTATCAAAAGCAAGTTGAAAGTAAAAATAATATTGAAACTTTTCTGCCATTTAATTATTACCGATTTTTAAATTTATATTTGTAAGCAAAAGTTATAAAGATATCCCTAAAATTGAATACGTTTTATTACGTAATGTAAGTAATGCAATTTTCAAATAATTCACGTGATTTGTTTAGGTAATAGACTAGAGAGCTGTATGCACGTGCACTAGTAAATATATAGATTGTAGGACGGACTAAAAGCCACTTATCATACTTACATTTGTGCTTGACCACCATTAGTCTGCGATGCGTAAATTTCTGGTTCCACATATTGCACATGATAACCCTGATGGGACGCCACGGTATCTCCCTCGGAGGCAACTTGAAAACCAAAAAAAGCAGAACACAAAATACGTTATTAATTGCTATCACAATACAACAACAGACAAACAACTATGAACGATGCAAATTTAAATGCCATTGAAAATCGTTCATTACATTGAAAATTTGAAACTCTGCAAATTTTGTATTGTTTCCAACAAAATTTCGTGCAATGTTAATAAAACATTTCATGAATTTGTAAACAATAAATGTACAGGTGTGAACATTCACATTACATTTTCCCTGTGCAAACAATATAAAAATTATAAATAATCAATAAATTTATTAAATATAAATAGAGTTTGATTAGTGAGTTTAATATTTAATTAATTTACAACATATTAAAAAATGAACTTGATGAACTGAGAGTTAAATATAAATTTTAAAAGCTGCTGTATTTTTCCAACTAAAAAATATGTTTTTACTGAAATTAAAAACATTATTTTACAGTATAAACAAAACTTTGGAAATAAATCTCCAGAGCATGTAAAAACCTTTCAGTAATAAAATATGAAGTTAAAACATTCTTCATCCTCATAGTATCTATCAAATTAATACATATTACAATGAAACATGTTTAAAAGTTTTTCATTAGTATTTCTGAAGATTTACTTTAAATTAATTATGATCGCAGTATACGTTTCTACAATCAATTTAAATTCTTCATAACAAAGAATTAATATACAACAATACCTCGCACAGTACGGCTTCGGTCAGTCTGAATTCACTATAGTCCGGTTCTCAAATGCCCAAACAAAAATAATTTTCAATACATCATTTTTTATACAGTCAAATCTATTCTTGTGCGGTTTATTTAGTTCCTCGATTAGTCCGTTTCAAACAGTTCAAAATTGAGGAAATCGATTATCCGCACTATACAAGGTATTGCTGTATATTTCCAAAATGTTTAAAACATATAACAAAACTTATTGATATTTTTTTTACTAAAAAAATATAAAGAACTGATCAATAAGTATGGTATAAGTATTTTTAGCAAATTCATATTGAAAGCTACGAAATTGTGTTAGACAATGTTGTATTATAAAGGAAAGTCTAATAACGGATGGAAATAAGGGATGAACTCTTGCCGACGGAGAATGCTCGCATATAAAATAATATTATTACAAAATATGAAAAATTTAATAAGTAATAAAACCAAATTTGTTGCAACAAAAAGTCTTTTGTTTTCGTCTTAAGAAATAAACTTTAGAATAATGATTGAAGTATATGGTGAATTTAAATATACTTATAATATAAATAAATTAAAAATTTACGGTAAAAAGACTAAGACTTTTTGTCTAAATTAGGACAAATAAAAATTTGTAAATATAATTAAATATATGAGAAACATACAGATTTTAACTAGAATTTCGTCAAAATAAATCAAAATACTCGGATCAAAATATTTGTCAAATTGCTTATGATGTGGACACATGTCATAAGCTTGATAACTTGTGAAAATTAAATAAACGTGATACTAATGGAATACCACAATTCATACCATTTTTTTGATATTTTTTACGAAATAGACTTGAATCTTTGCATTAAGTAGAATAACAAACTGTGAATCACATTTGTAACATTACTACATAATCCATCCACGCAATAACAAAAACTATGTATGATTTTCAATGAACAATCATAATTAATTACATAACTATTTTTGATCGCAAAACAATATTTTATAAATTAAATTGATAGAAAATACTTCGCCCTTATTTGTTTGCAACTTAAGTCAGTTTGAAATTATATTTATTGGTTTATGCAACAAATATCATCAGTAAAGTTAAAATTTTGTATAATTAAAAAAAAGTGATTAATATTATTGTTGTTTACTCTTTTATATAACTGTTGCAGTAATTATTGTCTTCATATAGACATAAGTAATCGAATATAAACTACATTAAATCAATGTTGATCATAAATAAACATTAATAATAATGTTTGATTTCTATAGAAATAAGTTGAATTGTAATGGTATTGAAAGTATAGTAAGATGTTAATGATAAAAAAATACCATGGTGATAGTTGGAGGAGTATCTGTTATACATCTTATTGGATTGGCACATCACAAGGGCATCTCGTTGAACATCACTTTGTCGAGCATCGGCGGCAACTGAGGTGAGATCTCAAAAATGGCATTAAAAATGATAGTGATGTCGACGAGGGGGACGACAGGTATCGGGGGTTCCCCTTAATCTCGGACCCATCCGAGTGGACATAACGGGGTTACAATGTGTATAGTTTTCATCCCCCGCGACAGCCTCCCGCCGCCGCCGATGCTTCCTCCACCACCACCCCGCACCCGACGAACGCACAGAAAATGCATACAAACACCGTTGCAAACAGCCATACATGAACACACCTGTGCGATGCGAAACGGACGGGGGGGAGGGCCGGACCACCTCCCACCATCCCTTCAGCAGAAAATCCACCCCCTCAACGCGTCCAATTAGAGCAATTGCACTGCCAATTTCAATTGATACTTGGATATTAAATAACACGGGCACAATTAAACTGATTACACTCGCTTTATTATTTCGTTTTTCCATAAACGTATGAACCAATAACAAAATGGATAAAAAAATATTTGTTATTTGATTACCAATGCTTCAATGTTTACGCCCAGCGCATAAAATACCGTAATACTAATTTACGATCAGAATTTAGCGTTTAGATCTATCTCAGCAATAACTTTGATAGCTTAATATAAGAAAACCGCAAATATCACGAATTAGGAAGTAAACATTTTGTAAAGACCACAGCTTTATCTTTATTTTCCATGTTCAATGATAACATTTACAATCGAGTAATTAAATTAAAAGCAACTGAAGAAAAAAGTGTCAAAATTGCAACGATAAATCTGATGAATGAATTTCATAAACAAATACAGTGGAAATAACTAAAACTAAAAAAATGAACTTCAATAGTTTAGTAATGAATAATTTGGACGGAAATTTTCCGACATAGCTTGAAGTTCCATAATTACAGAAAGCAGCATGTGAATTACGTAAGCACGAAAAACAAATATGCCTCAAAAATAAAAATTGAAAATCCTTAGACTGGAATTCAAGAAAGTTGTAATGCAAGTGCAAACTGTGTAACTAACTACTCGACTAGTTTCGATGAAACTTTGGTAATAGGCAATCGAACATTGGAACACCGTTCAGATTCGAGTCGAAATCTAAGTCCAGATATTACAATAAGCTTGGAAACACTACTACAAACTAGTTCAACAAAAAATTATTACATCGTGTCTTGTTTATTTTGAAGAGTTTTATTGTTCGTCATGAAAAATATATTCCATGCTGTGCATTAAGTGAATGAATTTCCTAGATTATACTCGTATGTTAAATACAATCAAAGCTCAGTTAACGTAATTCACATTTTTTGGTACACAAGTTTCTGATTGTTTGCTTTCCGTATTTGACATTCATAGGAACGTACACTTTGTCATCGAATGTTTGATAGGAATGTGCGACTGTACATGATTTTTGAGTGAATTTGCGTTGAATGCGCATACATATTTCGCACGGGACACAATCCAAGGGATCAAATTAATCGTTTGAACTGAGTATCCGAAACCGCACCAAAATCACCATACACAATTAGAAATAATTGTACACGTTTGCATTAATATGCGCCCTTTGATGTTATTATTGAAAGCTGCGTCAATATCAACCTACATGCCGACTATTTGATGCGGAATTGGATTGGACACGTTGATTTAAATAGTGACCGGTTTTTTTTTTGTTTAATCAGAAGAGAGAACAAGAAAAAAAAAAACTAATAATAGAAGACACGAGGGAGCTTAACTTATGTTGATTCCCTGCTGCAAGTAGGGTTCCTAATGAAATTGTTTATTGTTCTATTTTGGTTGAAGGGGTTGTTGCGTCGGTACCTGGGAAAACATACGATAGGTGGGCATTGTGAATCACGCGTGGAGGATGGGGGTGGTGATGTTCATAGTGAGCGCCGCCCGAACCGGATCAGTTTCCAATATAAAATTGGGGTGCTCGATGAAATGTATCAAATCTACAGGTGAGCAAAAGTGTGCTCCCTTTTGTGCGTTTCCGTTCCTAATGGGGAGTGTGTCCGTCCGGTAATAAGCAGAGATTAAAGGTGATTAGACTTGTTAGTCATCAAACTTTGGAACGGTATCGTTCGAGCGGAAAAGCCATTAATAAGTATCAAAGAATATTGCGAAAGGATGCAGAACTATATTGCAGGGCCTGCTTTTCTTCGGCACTAATCTGCTTCGGTTGTATGCAACTTGAATACGAACGATTTTTACTGCTTTATAACTTGGCACATAAAGTAGTAAAAATCCCCAGGCGAATTCAATTATTATTATACCCATCGTCAATCTTTGTATGTACAAATCTTCAAAACGAATATATCAAAATAATATTGTCAGCTCAACTTTTCTTGTGCATTGCATTAAAACCAACCAAAAATAAGATGATTTTATTCATATTTGAAGGGTGGCGTAGGTCTTTCAATAAGTTTTCTTTAATTGTTATGTTTCACTGTTTAATAAATATTATTTCATATTTTTTAGTTGTACAAACCCATTCATATTATTATTAGTTATGTTGTTCCTTAAAACATTATATTTCTGTATGAATAATGTTGTTTCCTATATTATTAAATGTTTAGCAAGAAATTATAAAGTGGTGTTGACTTAATTTGATCACAAATTCCTTTAGTATTATGTGAATAATGTTTTCCATCTTTCCCTAAATTTAGTAAAAAAACAATTTTATGTCTGTTCGTGAAAAAATAATATAAAATTTACAGATTTTTTTTTTAACCGAATATAATAAAATTCCAATGATTGATTCAGAATTTTATCTAAATGAAAGGTTATAATGTGTTCCGCAAAACCAAGTGCAATAACATTCTGATTGTGTTAATCTTAAGGCTTTTTGCTTTTTTTTTACTGTTTACTCTATATTTTTATATGTGTACTAAATCTCAGTGTCTTCTGAAGGCTGCAAGAGGCTAATGCCCATACCGGCCTATAATAATTTATAATCTATATATATATATTTTTAAATAATAAAATTATGTTAAGATGGAAGAT